ACTCTGTCGCCCAGGCTGTAGTGCAGTAGCACAATCATGGCTCACTGGAGCCTGGACCTCCTGGGCTCAAGTGATCCTCCTACCTCAGCCCTGCAAGTAGCTGGGACTACAGCCATGTGCCACCATGCCAGGCTAATTTTTGTATTTTTTTGTAGGGACAGGGTTTCACCATGTTGGCCCAGGTTGGTCTCGAACTTCTGGCCCCAAGCAATCTGCCCACCTCAGCCTCCCAAAGTGCTAGGATTACAGACGTGAGCCATCGTGGCTGGCCCACAATTTCTACATAATAAATTGCCAGATCAATGTGGCATTAATAATGTTATTGACGGAAAATAATCATCTGTCATTTTTATATACACACTATATACACTAGACTGGGGGTTATGTCAAACTACAGTCCATGGGCCAAATCTATCCTGCCATTTGTTTTTCTATGGCCTAAAAGCTAAGAACGTCTTTTTTTTCTTTTTGAGATGGAGTCTTGCTTTGTTGCCCAGGCTAAAGTACAGTGGTAAGATCTTGGATCACTGCAGCCTCTGCCTCCCGGGTTCAAGCGATTCTCCTGCCTCAGCCTCTCGGGTAGCTGGGATTACAGACACACACCACCACGCCTGGCTAATTTTTATATTTTTAGTAGAGACGAGGTTTCACCATGTTAGCCACGCTGGTCTCGAACTCCTGACCTCAGGTGATCCACCCACCTCGGCCTCCCAAAGTGCTGGAATTACAGGTCTGAGCCACCGTGTCCGGCCTCTTTTTAACATTTTTCAATGGTTTAAAAAAATCAAAATAGTATTTTGTAAAAACTATATAACATTCAAATTCCAGTATCTACTTATAAAGTTTTATTGGAACACAGCTGTCCTCATCTGTTTCTGTATTAACTATGTCTGCTTTTGCACTAAAATGTTTAGTGGCAAAAGAGACCATATGGCCCATAAAGACTCCTTTACACAAGTCTGTTGACCACTGGACTATGCCCAAGTGAGTCCTTGGAGGGGACCCACTGGAGTTCCCCACTATAGATTTTTTGTTTCCAGATATTCATACTGGGAAAGGGGTGATACACTAGGACAGTATTGGCAAGGATCTGATAAGGGAGACACTCTAGAACATAAATACATGATGGTTACCTCAGAAAAGATATAAATGCCTAGTAAAATCTGGGTGGGCTGATTGAAGAAGAAGCAATTGGAGAATGCAGGGTAACATACACAGTTTAGCAGCAAAGGTAGGCTCTTATTGAGTCACATGGGACCCTGCTGAGACCCAATCCCAAAGAGCCCAGCGAAACTCGCTGGTGATGATGTCTGCAAATAGCAGGGAGGCTGAGCAACATTTGTAATGCAATGACAGACAATTTCCCAATAGTACCCCATTCCTTTATCAGGTGTCCTCAAGTCATTTAGCATCCAGATTTATCCAGGCATTTCCAAAGGCAAGTCTAGACTTTGACGAAAAATTGATCTGGAAAAAAGGTTCTGGGAAGGAAGCCCCAGGTAAACATTCTTCCCCAAATGATAACACTTCAATGAGGACTCAGTGAGGATCAGAATTCAGAAGATAGCAGAACCCTCCACACGTTTTTCTAAGTCACAGATTTGGTGAACATTTTATTCTTTCTCTTTTTGATCATTACTAGTGGGGCAAATGAAGCAAGGTAGGGTGGGGTGATGGAAGGGGAGAATTGCATAAAATCAGTGTTAGGATGATCTGCCCCGGAAGGCATGTATTCCTCTTAGACTCTCAACTGTGGCATAAAACATTCCATGTGGACTTTGAATTAGAATGAGCGTGGGGGCGGGGATAAAGATCAACCTGAAAGCCGAAAAGAGTCATTGACCGATGGTGTTAAGCTTCAGAAAGCTTGCAGATGGCCAGCTCTCCTACTGACATCCCACAGAAAGCCAGGCTTGATCTCCTGTGGTTAGGTGGAGCTTCTCCTGCCAGGGAAAATACAGCTGCTAGGAGAATGGGCTTTGGATGTTATAGCTCTGAAAAAGTTTCATGACTCTTGCTACTTTAGAGGTAACCATATTGCCTCCTTGAGAAACTGGTGACACTGGATGCCTCTGGGGAGTGCAACTGAGGGTGGCTAAGGTGCCCATGTCCCTTAGAAAAAACAAAATAAATAAATAATTCCCCCATGTCACCCCACCCTGCTTCTTGAAGACAGGAAGGCAACCCAGGGCCAGGGCTGGAGCAGACAAATTTCCTTACTCAGCAGCTGACACAGGGAGCTGAAAGAAGGATCCAAAAAACCAGAGAGAAGAGTTGTAAGTTAAGTGGAAAACCATGACCCAAAAGTCAATTCAAGGATCAGCACACCAAAGTGACCAAAAGCAGCTACTGAAGATGTGACCCAGGACCAGAAAACAAAGCAACAAGGAAAGAGAGGAGTAAGAGCAAAATGGTGGAGAATAAACTGAGAGGTGTCTGAAAACAGCCAAGGACAAGAGTCTGGGGTGTGACAGACACATAGCTGGATGTGTGAGACTACCGGACCAGGAGCTCAAGAGGCCTAGGCAGCAAGGTGCAGGCCAGGGCAAAATGTGGATCAGTAATAAAATAGATTTGGTGGGTGGGCACATTAGAAGTACTCATATAAGAACTTTCCTATTTGGGGATGCCTAGATCATGCTCTACCCTTGGGTTTAGAGATTCTGAGCAGCCAAATGTGAATGTTTTGCTCTGGATAAGTCCTTTTCATTATAGCCAACTGGAACCATTTGAATTCACACTCCTAATTACCTGCTTCTGGCTGCTGTGTCTAAACCATAGCTTCTGGTACTCTACACTCCACCATAGGTCTTGGTCCAGCATCACTGGCACGGTCACACCAGCCGTGTGCATAGGACTGGAATAAAATCCAGAAGTAAGTTGTCTCAGGACCTCTGTTTTATAACGGGTTAGAAACAACTCCTGTAGGTATGGTTGTAGGATCCTGGCCTGGGTCCAGGAGCATATAAATCTGTAACAATTACCACTGGGTGGGCCTCAGCAAGGATTAATATGAGGTTCAGCAACAAAGCTGCAAGAACTAGTGGTGGGGACTTTGTTCCTAAAGTGCAGTGTCCCTGGTGCCAAGTGCTTGTGGGCAACCTAGAGCTGCATCTGATGTAGGAAGACTTAATGGTCCTGAAATGGAACGTCTAGAAACTGTTAAGGAGCTGGAGATCTATAAGCTGTTGCTTGGTTTAAGAGTTTTCTTACACAGTATCTCGTCTTCATGGGACAAGGTCTAGCTTTCAAAGTGCCTCAAAACTAACAGGTGTTGATCCAGCGCAGTAGCTCACGCCTGTAATCCTAGCACTTTGGGAGGCCGAGGCAGGTGGATCACCTGAGGTCAGAAGTTCGAGACCAGCCTGGCCAACATGGTGAAACTCCGCCTCTACTAAAAATACAAAAAAATAGCCGGGTGTAGCAGCGTGCACCTGTAATCCCAGCTACTCGGGAGGCTGAGGCAGGAGAAACACTTGAACCCGGGACGCAGAGGTTGTAGTGAGCCAAGATCGTGCCACTGCACTCCAGCCTGGGCAGCAGAGCAAGACTCCGTCTCAAAAAACAAAATAAAACAAAACAAAAACAGGTGTTAATGAGGAACTTGTAATTTTTGGAGGTGAGTAGAGAAAGTGAAAGAACAGCACTAAAAGTAACTGTGATGAATGAGTGTTGTGCCTCTACTATCAAGCAATATTGTCTAAGAGGAGCTGTTATATGTAAAAATCCTTTAGTAAAACAGAGACTGGCCAATTCTCTGAAACGCTATTACCAAACCCCTGCCCCCTGAATGTTTCTAGTCTATGTGGTATTACTTGGAACCCACTTGGGAAAAGTTGCATTCCATAAATCTGGCAGAGGCAGGAAGAGAAGACACAGAGTTTGAATTTGCAGAAACTGCTTGTCGGAGTCCAAATGGAAAATCACATATCAAATTAGTTGTTACAAACCTATTCACAGACTCAGGGGAAGCAATTTAATAACAACCGGCATAGAGTTGGAGGTATAGGAGAGGAAGCAAATTATCCCAAATTGTTCATCCGCTGCAACACCATTATCTTCCTCTTTGAACTTTGTTATTTTAGCCAATAGTGTCATCATTTTTCCTTTTTTTTTTTTTTTTTTTTGAGACAGTCTAGCTATGTCACCAGGTTGGAGTGCAGTGGCACAATCTTGGCTCACTGCAACCTCTGCCTTTTGGGTTCAAGCGATTCTCCTGCCTCAGCCTCCCGAGTAGGTGGGACTACAGGCACGCACAACCACACCCATCTAATTTTTATATTTTTAGTAGAGACGGGGTTTCACCATGTTGGCCAGGATGGCCTCGATCTCTTGACCTTGTGATCTGCCTGCCTCAGCCTCCCAAAGTGCTGGGATTACAGGCGTGATTCACTGCATCTGGCCAGTGTCATTTTCTACCGATGCAGGTTGGAAGCCTCATGCTGTTCCACCTGCCCTGGAAGCTTTCCATAATGTCACAGCCCCGTCTCACCCATCCTCATGGGTCCAGTTCAAGAACCATCTCATCCATGAAGCTCATCAGCCCTTGGAGATCTTGTTCATAACTTTCACATTGTCAATGCCCAGCAGTGTTCTAAAAACAGCAAGTTCTCAAAACTATAGGCATTAGTTACTAAAAACAGGCTGCTGTGTGGGAATCCACACGTAGGCAGCAGATTCCCTTAATTCAGGGACTAGACAGCCACCTGGTCTTCCTCCCCACACATCACGGCCTAGGGCTGGGTCCCTGGGTTTCTATTTTCTAGGACCAGATACTCGTCTTCCAACAGAGGAGATACCCAAATGAGTGGAGATCCAAAGAATAGGACTAGAATGAAACAAACCCAGCTCTTCCGTGAGATGTAGGCCTGTGAGAAGATCAGTATTGGTGGCCAACCCCTGATTCCTAAGGGGCGCCCACTGAGTCATCCGGACCAGATCAGCCCCTAGGCCCAGCACTGTTCAGTAACACCAGCATGCCACTGCATTATGTACCATACCTCAGGCCCTGACTGCGAAGCAGGCTGAAACTGTAAGCCTTCTTTTGGGGTCCTCCCAGAAGAGCATGCCTCCCTGGGCACAGAGATACAGATTCCAGGAGCTCCTGTTCCTCTCTTCTCACTGGCATGATCCTCTGAGGCAGAATGTTGAGAACAAAGGAACAGGACAGCCACAACAAGCTAAGGTCTGGGCAGAGAAGAAATCCAAACTTGTTGAGCAAAAGAAATCAAGAACAAGCAAATACCAGAAGGGAACAGCCAGAAGTTTTTCAGTTATGAAGAACAGCAAGGAAAATGGTCCAATAGTCCAGCAAAGAGTAATGAGGAGGGCCATGGTACATAGGGAGGAGTAGTGAAGACTGAAAAATAGGTGAGCAGCCAAAGAAGGTGCCTAACAGTGAGGCAGCACCCTAGTTCTGGTTCAGCTAACTCACATTCCTCTCACCATGGGGTGAACCAATCCTCAGCTACCCTGGGGGGAAGGCTTGTTGAAGATGAGGCCTGCAGAAGCTGGCTGGCAGGGTAGTGGACTCTGGGATGGGATACGGACAGGGGCATTTCCCCATCAGCCTCACCCTGGAGATAACTCCATGTTTCAGAACCTGTTACCTTTTTCCTCAAACATGAGCTTTTTTTCCTAGTTTCCTTTGAAAGATTGGACTGAAAGTCAAGTTTTCGTGGTTTAGGCTCACCCTTCAAAACACCCGAAATAACTTTTGCAGAAACCTTCCTCATGTTCAAGTTTTCTTTCAAAATGAGCCTAACAGTTTCTTTGTCTAAATTTAACTCTTCGGCCATCATCCTCACGGTTAACTGCCTGTTTGAACAAACCAAGTCCTTGACCTTCTGGATATTGTCATCTGTTCGGTGGGTGACCGGACGCCCACTTCTGGCATCATCTCGAACATCTTCCCGTCCTTCTTTAAACCTTTTGTGCCAGTCAAAAACTCTGGCCCTTGACATGACTTCTTCCCCATAAGCTTCTTTTAAAAGATGGTGGGTCTCACTTGCAGACTTGTTCAATTTCACGCAAAATTTGATACTGATCCTTTGTTCTAAATAGCGGTCACTCATTCTGGCACTGAAAAACACAGGAACGCTAACAGGCCACGACTGTAAGGAAAAAACGGACAGATCAATCTTTATAGGCCTGCAGGTGTAATTATATCGCTGTTCTTGCTCTTCTAGAAGCCTCGCCGGGAAAGAGTAATTGCTTTTATGAATTTTTGTCCCTCAGCTTCCAGTCGAGGCTGGGGAGATCCGTTCTGGGAAGCTAACAGGGCCAACAGTCGCTGCAAAGCTGGGAAAAATTAAATCGCCTACAACCACTGCATCCAACCAGCGCACGCACATCTGCCGAGAGTTTGCCAATCAGTCAACAAGGTTGCTCCGATTCCGCGGCCCTTAAGGAGTATATGGCGAATTCTGCAAGAAAGGCCTAAGTGTTGGCAAATTAAGCAAGCAAGAAGAGATGCATCGGTGATGTAACGTGCAAGCTCGCCCTAGATCTGCAGAAACCCGCGCACGCCAAACCTACCGGAGCAGCCAGGGTATCGCCTGCTCTAGCGTCCCGGGAGACAGGCGCGCATGCGCAATTCTCTTCCCTCCGCGGATTAGACTGTGCGCAGTCGCACTGCGGCAGCGCGCGCCAGGTCCCGCCTCCGCCTTGCCACACCCCGGCAGGCGCGCTTCTTTGCGCGTGCCCGCCTGCGGAGAAGGCGGAAAGGAGGGGCGGGGGAGGAAGGCTGAGGGAAGAGAGGGCACCCCCGGGCGTCAGGGTGCATTGTGGGAAGGAGGCGGCAGCGTCTCGGGCGGGCGGGAGGTGCACCAGCGGCGGCGGCGGCGGTAAATCCTCCCGGCCGCTCACAGCACTGTGGAGCCGCGTCCCCAGCCCGGCCTCGGACCGCGGCACCCCTCCTGGCCCTCGCGGCTTCTCGCCCGCCCGCCCCTCCCCCGCGCGTCGGCCCTGCCGAGCCGGCCGGCCGGCCTGGCTCCCCTCCTCGGCCCCGACGGGCGGGCGGACTGCCCTGAGGAGGCGGGGAGGGGAGGGCTGGGCCGGCCGGCGGGCGGGCGACGATGCCGAACTTCTGCGCTGCCCCCAACTGCACGCGGAAGAGCACGCAGTCCGACTTGGCCTTCTTCAGGTTCCCGCGGGACCCGGCCAGGTAAGCGGCGGGCATGGAGCGGACGGCCCAGGCCCACCTCCGCGGTGAACGCTGCCAGCCGCCGGCCGCGGGCGGGCTCCTGGGCTGGCTGAGAGGGGTGCAGGAGGGGGGCGCAGCGCACTGCCATCGACCCCAGCGTTGGACCGAGATGGGGAGCCGGCCCCAAGCCATGGGCGGACGGGCGTCCGGGGACCTCGGAACACGTGCGCTGGTGGGGGCTCTGCGCGCAGGGCACCACCCCAAACACGAGGGAGCTGGGGCGGCGCGCGGACGCGGGATGCTGTGGGTTCTCGCCGTGGCTCACTTGCTGTGTGACCTCGGGCGAGTCGCTTTCCTCTCTGGGCGTTAGTTTCCTTAGCTGTCAAAAGAGAGCAGGACTCTGTGGTTGTGGCCATTGGGGCCCTTCCGTCTCCTTGCCACCACCCCCGGGACAGTGTTTCTGTTTTGAGTCCCGCTACCTTCTTTTATCTTGTCATAACTGCTCTCTCCTTCGGACTTGTCATTGCACGGTTCAGGGTTCATTTTATGGCTGTCACCGTTACTCATTTTCTTACTTGGTTATTGTAGGGATAACAGAGGGTGTACGCGTGAGGGCGTGGGAATTGGTATTGGAACCTCTTCTTTCGGATAACCCCCACACACTGACTTATATTTAGGGAATGATAGCATAGGGACTGTTTGAAAGGCTGACATAGTTCATAGGCCTGTCTTGTTGGTTCATTCATTTAAAATCAATGCCTATGTGCCGAGCGCAAATGTTAGGTGCTGGGAGTTCACAGGTGAATAAGGGTGTCACTGCTTGCAGAAAGCTCTCAGTCCATTAAGGGAACAGGTACAGCAACGGGCGATTATAATGTGTATTATTTATTAATTAGTTCAATTAATTATTGAAGGTCTACTTGTGAGCGGTGGGGGTTACAGATGAACAAATCGAAGTCCTTGCTCTCATGAAGATTACATTCTAATGGGGGGGGAATAAACAAGTGAAATCATAGTGTGTCGGATGATGATAAATACTGTGGAGAAAAATAAAGGTTAGAGGGTAGGGGAATAAGTAGTATCAAGGGATGCACAATTGCTATTTTTAATACAGTGATTAGAGAAGGCCTCACTATGAAGGTGAATTTGAGCAAAGACCAGGTGAAGGGGCCAGCTATGGAGATACCTTGGGCAGCAGCATTCCAAAGAAGGCAAAGACAGGGCAGCCAGGAGTCCAGGGAGAGGGACTGAGAGAGAAGTGAGATGAGACCAGAAAGGTGTGTGTATGATAGGGGCAAATTCTTTAGGTAGGACCTTGTAGGTCTTGGAAGGCACTATGGTTTTTATTCTGAGTGAAATAGGAAGTCATTGAAGGGTTTAGAGCAGAGACTTAAATTTTAACAGGATCAGTGGCTGCTCGTTAGATTGTGGGGTGAAAGGTGAAAGCCGGAAGACCAGTTAAAAGGCTGTTGGAATAATCCAGATTAGTAGAGGAGGAGGTGGTAAATTTGAGATATGGTTTGAAGGTGAAGCCCACAGGATTTGCTAATGGTTTGGAGGTAGATTGTAAAAGAAAAAGAGAACTCAAGGCGACTTCAAGATTTTAAAAACCTATGTTGATCAGGTTGGTCTTGAACTCCTGGCTTCAAGCAATCCTCCTGTCTCAGTCTCCCAAAGTGCTAGAACAGGCTCTGAGCCACCACACCCAGCCGACTTCAAGATTTTTAACGCGAGCATTTGCTGAGATAGGGAACACTGGAAAGAGCAGGTTTGGTAGGGGAATACTAAAAGTTTGGGTTTGAGAGGCCTGATAGACATTCAAGAATAGATGTCTAGGCCGGGCACGGTGGCTCACACCTGTAATCCCAGCACTTTGGGAGGCCGAAGCAGGCGGATCACTTGAGGTCAGGAGTTCGAGACCAGCATGGCCAACATAGCGAAATCCTGTCTCTATTAAAAAATACAAAAATTTGCTAAGCATGGTGATACATGCCTGTCCAGCTAGCTACTCAGGAGGCTAAGACATGAGAATTGCTTGAACCCGGGAGGCAGAGGTTGCAGTGAGCCGAAATCGTGGCACTGCGCTCCCATCTGGGTGACAGAGCAAGACCCGTCTCAAGAAAAAAAGAATAGATGTCTTTCTTCATACCATATACAGAAATGAACTCCAAGTGGCCTATACTTTTATTTAGATCAAAGGCCTGAATATAAGAGCTGTATCATTAAACTTTTAGAAAAAATACAGCTAAATCTTCATGACTTTAGATTTGGCAGTACATTCTTGTTTGTTTTTTGTTTTTTTTTGAGACAGAGTCTTACTCTGTTGCCCAGGCTGGAGTGCAGTGGCACGGTCTCAGCTCACTGCAACCTCCGCCAGCGGGGTTCAAGCAATTCTACTCACTCAGCCTCCCAAGTAGCTGGAATTACAGGCGCCCATCACCATGCCTGGCTAATTTTTAAATTTTTTTTAGTAGAGACGGGGTTTTGCCATGTTGGCCAGGCTGGTCTCGAACTCCTGACCTCAGGTGATCCGCCCACCTTGGCCTCCCAAAGTGCTGGGATTACAGGCATGAGCCACCATGCCTGGTTGGCGCCACATTCTTAGATATGACACCAAAATACATGCAGTAAAAACAAAAATAGACTAATTGGACTTCATCAAATTTAAACTTTTGTGTATCAAAGGACGTTACCAAGAAAGTGAAAAGAATGGAAGAAGGTACTTGCAAATTATACGTTTGGGGTCTAGTATCCAGAATATATAATGAACTCTTTCAATTCAGCAACAAAAAGACAACCCAATTTTAAAATAAGCAAAGGACTTCTTTTTTTAAACAAAAGATACAAATGGCCAAAAAGCACATGAAAAGATGCTGAACATCACTCATTATTAGAGAAGTTCAAATCAAAACCACAAGTGGCAGTTAGACGTAGAATTACCGTGTGTCCCAGCAATTCCATTCCTAGGCGTATATCCAAAAGAATTGCAAACTGGTATTCAAAAAAACCAAATGTACACACATTCATAGCAGCACTATTCACAATAGTCAAAAGGTAGAAACAAGCCATGTTTATCAGTGCATGAATGGATAAACAAAATGTATATCAATACAATGAAATATTAGCCATGAAAAGGAATGAAGTGCCAGTACATGCTACGGTATGGGTGAACCTCAGAAACATTATGCTAAGTGAAAGAAGCCAGATACAAAAGCTTGTATGTTGTATGATTCTATTATATGAAATATCCAGAATAAGTAAATCCAGAGAGACAGAAAGCGTTATCAGTGGTTGCCTGGGGCTGGGAGAAAGGGTATGGTTTTGATTTGAACTTCTCTAATAACGAGCGATGTTCAGCATCTTTTCATGTGCTTTTTAGCCATTCATATCTTTTATATAAAGAAAGAAGTCCTTTGCCTATTTTAAATTTGAGTTGTCTTTTTGTTGCTGAATTGTAAGAGTATTTTATATATTCTGGATACTAGACATACAGGGTTTCCTTTTGAGGTGATGAAAATGTTTTAGAATTAGGTGGTGGTGATGGTTGCAGAACATGATGAATGTATTAATTGCCATTCAGTTTTTTACTTTAAAATGGTTAATTTTATGTTATGAGAATTTCACCTCAAAGAAAATAGATGTCTTGAAGAGAGAGTAGGATATACAAGTCTGAAATTCAGAGACTTTCAGACTGGAAATTGTAAATATGGGTGTTCTCAGTTGATAGAGGGTATTTAAAGCCATGGTACGGGTTAAGGTTATCTAAGGAGTGAGCAAAGAGTGGATCTGAGGATTGAGTTGTGGGGCATTCCCAGTGTTTTAAGTTCTCAGGCATGGGAAAGAACTCGCTCAGTAGAGTGAGGAGTAGCCGTTGGGTTCCATGGAAACAGAGGAGAGGAGCATCTTAGTCTGACTTGGCCTTGCCCCATTATGCATTATCTTCCTTTTTCCCAAATTTTAGTCCAAAGACATTCTTACAGATTTATTTCACTTCCATAATGAGGGCACCCCTAGTCAGTTCGGGACCACAGGTAATTTGTGTTAATATGTTGTGAATCCTGTTTTTACTACACTCCTTAAGGGGAATATGGTCTATAGGGGGCTACAGTTTCAGATTTGAAAGAAGTTTTTAGATCTAGTGAAATCTCACTTGAAATACTGGAATTTTCTCAATAATAGTGACTTTTAGTCATTTTTAGGGTTATTATCCTTTTGAGAATCTAACATAAGGACTCTTACCTGAAAAAACAAAAACAAACATAGACACAATTTAGCATTCGAAGACAAAGGTGTTTATGGACCTTTATAGGCCCTGTGCGTTCCTGACAGATGGGCATCTCTGCCCTGGCTAAAACACCTCTAATGACAGTCCTCCCCTTTGTGAGAAGACACCTGATGATCCTGGACAACTTTGGCTGTTGTTTCTTCCCTGTATTGAGTGGACATCTGCCTCCTGTAATTGAGGCCTTGGAGGTCCTGGTTTTGTCCCC